AAACGGGTTCCCAGAGTCTGGAATATCAATAACCTGAAGAAGTTTTACCCTTAAGTATACTTCAGATTGAAAGAACTTTGTTTTGATAATTCTTACTTTCACTCCTTCTGCTCAATTTAGAGTGTATTTTAACTCAATTCATTAATAAGTTTCACTTCACGACCGAAATAATTCAATTCTGTGTACTCTTCTATACGTTGGAAGTGAGTTTCATTTATTCTGACTCATTCAGCCACTTCATTTTAGGGTTATAATCCTATTAATCAGTTACACTTTATTTTTGCAGTGCTTTACTTCGACTTCGAGATATATCTTATGGATATCCGAAGTCAATTACTTCGAGGTATATCTTATGGATATCCGAAGTGTTTATCCGAGGTCAGAACCTTGTATTAATTCTAGTTAACTTATTTTACCTTAAAAAGTTCCTCAACAAAAAACATCAAATTAAAAATCGAACACCAGATAATAATAAAATTCAAAAATTTTATACATTAAACAATGTTATTTACATCAATAACGCAAAGAAAACCTAAACTACTCTGCTGGAAGAGGAGGCTGCTCCTCAGCAAGAGGAGGTGGGGACCTGGGTTCGTCTTCAGCAGGCTGAGGGGCACTTCTACTTCAGGAGGGGCCAGCTGCTGCACCTCGTCAGAGGAGACTGGATGCACCTCAGGAGGCTGCACTTCGGCCCTTGCTGCTTGATCCCCAACTCCAGTGCCTTGCTCTTCTTCTTCTTCTTCTTCTCCCCCCACTGCCACCAACTCAGCCTCGAAGGTTGGAGGAAACATAGTGCGCCCCTCTGCATCACGCTCCCACCTCAGCGTGATCTGAGGTCGGAAGTCAGCACAGAGGCTCTCCCCATCTTTCTCCACCCCTTCTTCTTGTTCCCCAAAGGTGACTGTTGTCACATCCACCTCTGGGTACTGGGCCTTCACTTTCTTTCTATAGTCGGTGAAGGCCACGATTGCGGTTGGCAGACGGTAGAGTTTGAGGATGTCCTCGAAGGTGCTGGAGTTGAGGAAGTTGCCAATGTGCTCCTCCATCCCGTTGTGAACCAGCAGGTTCACATTCTTCTTCAGCTTCGCGGTTGCTTTCCTCATCTTGTCCATATATTTGTCCTGAGCCTCAAGTTTCTCCTCGCAGATCTTCCTTTTACGTTCTTCGAGGCCGAGCTTCGTGCTCAGGACATTATTCTCGTTCTGGAGCTCGGTCACTGACGGAAGAACTTCATCCAACCTCCTCTGCATCTCCCTCTTCTGCTTCTCCCATTCCACCTTCTCCTTCTGCAGCTCATCCTTCTCCCTCTGAAGTTGGTCACACTGCCTTTGCAAGCTGGCACGATCTCTAACGCTCTCTGCATACTCCTGTGCTAGAGCGTTTGTCCAGCTCGCACTCTACAATGCAATTAGAAGTCAGACATCAGGCACAGGACAAACAACTCAAACATACAACCGGAGTAAAATCTAATTATTTCACATAGCTCCAGGGCATGCCTCACAATGGTATACCCTGCATGGCTAACCACCTCGTCCTTCGCCCGTATCCTATCCACCTCAGGAAGGGTAGCGTTGAGGAAGTGTTTCGCCCCAGTCTTGTTTGTCGCCTGAAACAAACTTTTCTGGTACACGTGCGGAGGGGTGCGCTCCCTGCCCCGATCAAGGCCTCGCACTTCGACCTTTCCTCTCTCCCTGTCTTCAGGATTGATTTCTGGAGAAGGCTGGGGCACGAACTCCACCACCTCGTCCCCCCTGTTTTCTAGCTCTGCCACCCTCCTCTTCTTCCTCTGGAGAGGTGCCATCTCCTCACTTGCATCCTCACTACCCCCCGTCATAGGCTCCGGCCTTGGCTGCACCTCCACGGCCCGGGCAGAAGTGCTGGGCAAGCACTCTCTCTCGGGCACCCCTCTGTTCGCCGTAGCTGAAGTCGTTGACTTGTTCCTTGGCTTCTTTGGGATGCGCAGCCCCCCAGCAGCATTTGTAAACTCCTCCATCTTAGCTGCAAAACAAACACAAAGGTCAAAACGCATAAACTAAGATCTAACTAACATAGCACAATGTAAACATACACAGA